AAAAAAAAAAAAAAAAAAGCCAGGCGTTGTGATTGCCTGTAGTCCCAGCTAATCAGGAGGCTGAGGCAAGAGAATTGGTTGAGCCCAGGAGTTTGAGGTTGCTGTGAACTATGACACCACAGCACTCTACCAAGGGCAACAAAGTGAGGCTCTGTCTCTTAAAAAAAAAAAATCTCCAATCAGATTTTGAAAAAGGGAAAAAACCTGGGTTGGCAGCAAGAGGAATTATACAATTTCCATTGGTTCCCCTACTTTTCTGGGCCACTGGTCCCCAAGTCCTCCACTGTCTCAGGATATAGCAGGGCCAGGACATATGCCAGACACATGTATGAGTCAGAGACAAACTGGACAGGACATTGCTCACCTTGGGATACTGACGGTGACACACTTCAGCAAGATGCAGCCCAGTGACCACTCCCAGTCTAGCTGCGAGCCGCTGAAGCAGTAGCCCCACGATGGTGGCCAGAAGAAGGACCCAGAGCAACTGAGAAGAACAAGATCCCCCCACAACACTCATTAGTCAACTGGGGGTTTTGTTCAGTTGTTTGGCAACATGAGTGGGAAACACTATGTTAAGGGAAAAGCCCAGGTTAGGAATCAAATGATCTGAGCTCTGTATCAGGTTTTGCACAAAACCTTCTAGGTCAGTTTTGCCCATTTTCAGTTTCTCCTTTATTCAAGTACACTATGTGAATAAAATAAAATAAAAGACCAGACAGGGAAGTACTTTATACCTAAGTGTCACTGCCAGTGCAGTATCTGCATGTAGCCCCCAGGGCTGCTATCCAACATGGGCATTGTGTGCTTAAAGGAGAGGGATAGTACTAGATGTTCACCTTAAATCCAGCTACTGCTCCGGACTGCAAATCAGATTCAATGTTTCCTGGATCCAGGTAAGCAATGCTCATAAGAAAGCCAGGTCCGGTGAAAGCCCAGAGTTTACGAAAGCTAAAACAAGAGTACTAAACAGAAAAGGAAAAGAGACTAAACTAAATATCACTTCCAAAGTAATGACCTATCTATTATCACATATGAAGAAACAATATCAGCTTCACAAGGACAAAGGATTCAGCATGTAGGATGTTGTATGTATCCAAGTTTCATGTCCATCTTATCCACTTTTTACCAGTAAGCAGCCTACTCTCTGCCTAAACCAGAGCCAGGCCCTTACCCGTTCTTTCCATCAGCCTCTCATTCTAAAACCAGAGTAACAATATTAGAACATCTGTGCCCAACCACTACTCCAAAGAAACAAGAGCCACACAAAATTCATACTTATCTGATCAAAAAATGCTCAATAGTGCCACCTGGCAACTATTCAAGGCCCTCATTTTCCTTAACAGCTTCTATTTATTTTGTTTACACAAATCTAGTCTTCAGAGACTGCCAACATTAGACTTGAGGCTGCTGAGTTTGAGTCATCCAACAGATCTCTCAATCATAGGTCATCCCCAAGCAATAGTGTTCCCCTCTAAGGACCCATCACTAACCTCTTCCTCAGGAACGGAAATCTTCTCATTAAAGTAGGTAGCAAAGGGCTCCTCTGAGTGCTCGTTGGACTGTGGGAGAGAGGAGTTACTATAGGCAGGGTTGAGGGCCCCAAGACTGGCATGGTCTCCAGAAGCATTATCTGAAGTAAGAGATGTGAGAAGAAATTAGTAAGAATGAACAAAATACATTAACAATTCATCCTTAATATATTGAAATTAAATCTTTTTAACACCTAAATGCACAAGAGACCAATAGACTCTAACTCAATTTATTTTTAATAGTTTATTTTTTAGAGTACAATGGTATCATCACGGCTCACTGTAACCTCAAACTCTTGAGCTCAAGCCATCCTCCTGCCTCAGCCTCCCAAGTAGCTGGGACCACAGGCATGCGTCATCATATCTAGCTAATTTGTTTCTTTTTTGACCGAGTCTCATTTTGTCATCCTCAGTAGTGCTGTGGAGTCACAGCTCACAGCATCCTCAAATTCTTGGCCTTAAGAGATTCTCTTGCCTAAGCCTCCTGAGTAGCTAGGACTACAGGTGCCTGCCACAAAGCCTGGCTATGTCCAGCTAATTTTTTTTGTTGTTTCTTGAGACAGAGTCTCACACTGTTGCCCTCGGTAGAATGCCGTGGCATCACAGTTCACAGCAATCTCAAACTCTTGAGCTTAAGCAATTCTCTTGCCTCAGCCTCCCAAGTAGCTGGGACTACAGGCGCCCGCCACAACACCCAGCTATTTTTGTTGTTGTTATTGTTGTTGTTTAGCAGGCCCCATCTGGGTTCGAATCCACCAGCCCAGTGCATGTAGGGCCCAGGACACCGTAACCACTAAGCATGGGTGCCGAGCCTATCTAGCTAAT